TCAGCTGAAAATACAAGATAATAATTAATAGATTAAAATTTCCAATTACATTCAAAAATCTTCTTACCTTTGAAACTATTTCGAAATCCCAAAATAATTCAAAATATCATTTCTAAAATATTTTTTTAGAAATGATCAGCAGCTAAAATAAAAACGACGACTGAAAAAATGAAAAACGTTCCACCTGCTAACGAATGGGGGGAAGACAAAATGGCCGATAAAGATGAACTCAAAATGGTATAACCGAAAGTTTACGAATGAGGTGGGATAGATGGGATAGAGACTAAATGGAAACCGTGTTGTTTACGAATGAGGTTTAGGCAAATTATGATTAGGGATAAGTAAATCGACTTTCGATTAATCGACTTTTTGTATTGAAAAGTCTAATGCTAATGCCATGTACAGACGAGCGTTGTTCCCTCTCTCATTCGTGGTTCGACTCTTAATTATGAAGTAATTACATAGTTCAAAGGAACTACATTAAGGAACTAGTTCCTTTTTAAAAAAAGAAACGAGAATGATCGATCCGCTACGTGAACTAGATTGCCCAACTCTATTTGAAACTACTTAAAAATCCCAAAATAATTCAAAATATCATTTCTAAAATATTTTTTTTTTAGAAATGATCAGCAGCGTCCCAAAAACCAATAAATTTGATGGTGTTGCCATAACCCATAAAAAAGTTAGTTATGTTCTGTAGGCAGGGTTACCGACTCTATCAGCCCTGTGAAGGGGATCAATTACCCCCATGGCGGGGGTAATATAATTTACATAAATAATATTGGAAAATTCATAATTAAAATGCAAGCTACCATATATTTTACCAATCCGATCATCAGTTTCAAAAAATGCATATATATATGAAAAAAAAAACTAAAACGCTATTTACATTAGACCATTTTATATGCGTAATGGAATTAACAATTTTGTTATACTGGATTAAATAAATCCGGTACAATTTGAACGTACTGTAATTTTTAAATCAAATCCTGTAACAATTTTTTATAACAGATTAGAGTTTGTTTAGATTAATAAATCCACTCGATCCCAAACGTCAATTCTATAGCGTATACGTCACGTTAATCATGTTCACAAATTTATTTATTTATACAGTGGATTATATTTGACGTATATTTTATGGAAAAGACGTTTGAGATCAAGGGGATTTTGTAAATTTAAACGTAGTCTTAGATAACTTACACCGTCCACCTCTTCGCTATTACGTATAGTGTACGTTGTACTTATGTAGCTACTAATCAATGCAACAATTTTCCCTCGCTTTTCAAAGACATAAAAGTATTAAAAGTATAAAGATAGGACAATTGAATTGCCAAGTTGGCCGTTAGATGGCTTTTGCTCTGTTGTTACGATATCGTAACAACATTTTCTGTTAATTACAAAGATAACAACATTTTTTACTCTCTGAAATGCAATGGAATAATGACAGAAAAACCCTAGAGAGTTTAAAAACAATTTATATGTCTGGCAACATTTGGGAAATATATATGATGTGTTCCACAATGTGCAAGGCGAATTTTTGTCGCTGCTACAGAAATGTATTAAATATACAATGAGAACAGAGTATGTACATATGATATATAATTATTATTATATATTTATAATTATTATTATTTTAGGTTTTTAGTAATTTGAAGACTTTCTCCTACGCCATAGAATCGTTTTAAAGGACACCCCCGATGCAATGAAAACACAATGTAAATAGTGAAAGACCGCGAAAAAGCATTTCAATTTGAAAACGTAAGAAGGGAATCTATATTCACTACTTATTTCAATGAACTTAATAAAAATTTGGATACTGCAAAATATAGTGCACTATATAATAAGACTATATATGTTGTAATACGGATCTCAAATGGTTCAAATTTACGCATATTGCATTATACTATGTTCTGACGTTGTTCCTCTCTAATTATACCCTTCACCACACTGTGGTACAGGGTATTATGACATTGTGTATATGTTTGTGACAGGCGAAAGGAAACGAAATAGCATCAAGTGACGGCAAGAGTGATTCTCAAACTTTTAATTCATTTTTCTCGAAGCAGTGTTTCGCTAATGGCGGGCCCGATAACTCATAAACTAATAATCTAATCGGTTTGTTAGTACCCAATTAATAATAATAAAACATTTTTTATACTTTTTGTTGTTGTTGTATAATTATTTATTTATTGCCATAAATGAGTTTTTTCAATCACTTAATAATTTTGTGCGATTTTATTTTTTTAAAAAGATTTTTTTTTTTTTTTTTGAGAAGGAAATAAAAACTTTCAAGTGGCGGAGGATATTTTAGGCATAACTATATAAGATAGATTAAAAACCAGTGAGCTGAGCAGTATAGTCGGACGGGGCCGACCACATGATATCCTGCACAACTTCTACGAAAATTTGACTTCCTGTAGTTCTATATTCTGAGCTTGAGCCATATTTCGCAATATTTGCACCCTGTTGACATTCAGTACACCCCTTCACCGTGGGTTGTGCTGTGATGTTCGGCTTATAACTGTGCCTATAAATCGACTCGAAAAAAAAAAACACAAAAATAAACTTTCGGTCCACTTCAGCCCAAAATTATTATCTGATCATCACCGAAAATTATGGGCATTGTCCTTGACCATAACTGCGACCTCATGGAACATTTCAAAGCGATCACCGCTATATTTCCGCCCTTCAGTGTGGTAATGGTTTACTAAATTATATTTGAATAACCTAAACACTTGTTAATAGCAGCCGAGTAAATACGACAATATTGGTATCAATTTAAAGGTCAACCACTCTATTCGCTATAAAACAAAAATTTGTAATTTTTCACACAAAAGTCAGGATTCATTTGACCCGCTAAATATTGACCGATCTTTATTTAAAACTGGCATGTTTATTCTTTGCCCCGATACCACTCTCCGTGCAAAAATTCGCAATGTTGGGGTCAGAATTGTGGCCTCTGGAGCGACCAGAAAACCGACAAAAATAAAGTATTTGGTCCATTTCATCCCCTTAATATCAACTGATCTTTTCCAAAAACCATAGGGATCTTCATTGGTCAGAAGAACCCATCCTATATGCAAAATTTCGTGAAGATTGGTCCATAACTGTGGCCTGTATCGTGTTTACACATAATAATGGACAGACGGACGGCCACGCATGTCTAGATCGACTCAGCTAGTCTAGATATGACGATAGGTATACTTAACGGTGGGTCTAGGACCAACACGTCGCGGCGTTACAAACTCTTGGGGCTGCACAAAGCTATAATACCCTGACATATCCTAAAATCATTGTTGTTTTTGTATTCATGGGTCATTATTTAAATCCGCATCATAATCTTCAGGCATCCACATCAACAGGAAATAAACATATTGCAAACAAATTAAAAATTTATAAACAATTTATAAAATTTGGAAAAGTTTCTTCAGTTCAACCGTTAGCGACCAATCAGCCTTAATTAAATCATCACGGATGTAATCCTTGCAAGCATCGAGACCTTGGCCAACTTATCATCAGCTTCAAAATGACGGCCAAACATTTTTGGTGATTCACCGGGTATGGGTTCAATTTTAACCCAAATCTTTTTGATTCGATTGAGGTGACAATGTCAATATCGACAAACTCCCTTGCTCGGCACACAAATCGGTGTACCAACATTCACAATACTATTATCTACCATTACACCCATGACAAAGGGGGTCACGACTGTTAAAGATGAACTGTGGCAAAAAAAAATAATTTAATTTCATACAATCTCAAACTTTACTTTGGTTACCATATTTTTCAAAATAATTAACATTGCTGTTAAGTATTTTTTGGTGAGAGAACTTCAAAAAGTGCATTTTCCATTAAAATGTGTAGCCCTCTATAGCACAAATTTGACACTAATATTGGAAAATGCGTCTTGTCATGTCTTTACGATTGTATGTCTTTGAAGTAAACAAAGACATAGAAACCGTAAAGACTCGACAAAATGCATTTTGACAAAATAGTTTATGAAAAAATATCCAGGGGGAGTCAGGCATAACAGAGGCATGTTAACAATAAAAACGCAAATACGCGATAATGTGTGTATAAAATGTAAATAAAATTAGAGATCTGTACTCAAAAAATATGTTTTTGTTTTATAAGCTTGCACTATAACGTTTAAAACGTTTAATATTAGGTTCGTTCGTTTACTCAATAATTTGTACGAATTTGTACAAATTATTACAAAATGTTGTTCGTTTACCCAAAAGTCCAGTAAAAGAGAGTGAATTGAGAGAGCAGATTTGACAGTTGTGTTACTGAGTATTTGCAAATTCTTACAAGGAAAATTTACTCAGTAAGAATTTTCTTGTACCATCAGCTGATATTTAATCAGCTGTTTTGTTATGTTTTGTAAACAAACAAAAAATTGTTCTCAAGAAAATTGATTGTTTTGTGAATTTTATTTTGATTTTGTATCATTAAATACCAAAATGGATGAAGAAAACGCAAGTATTTAAAAATAAGGTAATACAAGAGTAATTGGCGAACGATTTTTTAGGTTCCAAATCCAAAAAAAAAAAGTGTGCATCCCTAACATGTCTGGAACACCATCGGTTATGTCCACCCCAATATCAATTGCAGATACAGGAATAACAGGTCACAAACTTTTAAATGGTTATGGGGAACAAACAACATCAATTTTCCGCTTGTTATCCCTTTTTCTAATAAAAATGCTGTTTTTTAGTTTGAGCCAATTTGTTTGTTGTTTTAATCAGCTGTGTCGAAACAATCTTTTTACTGGATGTTGTTCGTTTACTTTTTGCAGTTTTCTCTCTTGAAAAGGAAAAATTCGTATTTACTCTCTGCAAATTCTTACTGAGTAAATATTACTGGGAAAGTAAACGAACGAACCTATTGTTTGCTCTGTTGTTATTATGATATCGTAACAACAGAGGAAAAGCCATCTGTTGAAAATTGTTTACGTATCAATTGTCCTATCTTTATACTTTTATGTCTTTGAAGTAAAAATGCATAAAATAACTCATGAAAATCACAATTGTTTATATTTAAATCATGTGAAATTAATTGAACAACAATATGCTGAATTTACACACGACAAAGAACGTTACAAATTAAAACCCGAACTGTTTAATTTTAAACCCAAAACCGCCGCAGAGGACAAAAATGTGGGAAGCCAAAACAAAAGGAAACGTAAAGCGGATGCGGAAAATGAAGAATGTGAGGAACTAAAGAAATTAATACAACCGTTTCGTGAAGAAATTCAAAATTTAATACATCAAGAATATGTGAAGGATTTGGAGAATATACCACGTACGTGGGAGGAGAAATTAGATTTTCCTAAATTCTATGGTGCCAATGGAACAACGGATTTCCAAACCACCAAATTTCAGGAACATGATTTTATAATACCACCTTATTGTAAATTCTATAACCACAATATCAATGATGTTCGACAAATTTTACCCGAACTCGAGAAATATGATCTAATAATTATGGATATGCCATGGCAAAATAAATACATTAAACGTCTGAAGAAAGTCAGGGACTCCTTGGCCTATCACATGCTCGATAATGATAGTTTACAAAATATACCCATACAGGAAATGATTCACGCCAATTCATTGGTTGTACTATGGTGTACAAATGCTCCACAACATTTGAATGCAGTGCAGAATGATTTCCTGCCCAAATGGAATTTACAAATTGTCCACACTTTAAAATGGTTTAAATTTAATACGGAGGGAAATTTGATAAGTCCCATAAAAGCGCAGGGTTATAAACAACCATATGAAACGGTCTTTATAACATGTCATAAGAACAGAAATTTAAATAATTTGGATGGCATAAAAAGCATAGATTTTATTGCTAGCCTTCCGAGTATTATTCATTCCCACAAACCACCGTTGGCAATGTGGCTGAGAGAGTTTCTTGATGATTCCGTTCACTTTAAGGGTTTGGAGATTTTTGCCCGCTATTTACAGCCACAATTTACCTCAATTGGATTGGAAGTACTAAAATTAATGGATAAACGTTTGTATAATAAAATACAAAGTTGATGCTATTATTGGAAAATAAAATTGTTTTTGATTTTGAAGATTGATTACTCAAGATGAGCTTTATTATAAATGGAAGGTAATTTTGTTGAGAAAAATATATAATATTTTTAATGATTGAATTTTAAATATTTGTATTATAGAATGGAAACATCAATCAAATACAATATGAGTTTCAAATTCGAATAGAACATATAGAACATCTATATCGGGCTACAGAAGGACAACAGAATGTCTTTTATCTGCAAAGGAACTACAGAAGGATTTCTGCCAATATAAAACTTCTTATCCTTTCCATACTTTTTAACATGAGCTTAATAGTATTCTTGTTCGTATAAGGCTTTGGTCCTTGAAAAATTCGTTGACTATAAACTAAATTAAGAGTAAACTATCAGATTTGGATGACAAACGTATGACCTAAATATTTTTGCTTGTTGTCTTAATTTTTCAATGATGAAAAGATTTAATTCGAATCTCATATTGATTTCAGAGGAAAGTTGTTGGTGTTATTCGTAGGTTTTATACCATAAGCATATATCTTTCACCATGGGTTAAGAAGAGATTAGGTTATGCTATATTTCATTTCGGACGATAACAAGGCAATAAGAAATATAAGGAAGATATCAAAAGCTTTCAAAATGAAAGATATGGGAGAAGTATTAACGGTTCTTGGAATGAAGATCACCGGAGGCGTAGATAATATAAAAAATGATCAAAGTAAATATATTTCAGAAATTTAAGAATCGGTAAAATTCTTACCTTAACATTAAACCTTTCTAAGTTATAGTGTTCATATGAAAATTTATTTTCATTATTTTTTATTCAGTTTCATTTATTTTGTCATTTTTTGCAAAACCACAACTTAACAGATATCACAGGATAATTGGAGACAATACAGATTTAAAATAAATAAATAAAAGCCTTTGAAAGCAAAAAAGAAAACAAAAAAGGAAATTGATTTCATCTTCTTTTTTCGATTTTAAGGTTTTGCAGTTGTTGTTGTTGGACTGGTAGTAGTAGTACTTGTGGCACTGATGGTTGTTGTGGCGATTGGGGCAGTTGTCGAAGTGGTCGTGGTGGTGGTAGTTGTTGTTAATGTTTTTGCAGTACTATTCCTAAAATAACAAAATTCGATCAGCAAAATGGAAACACAATTAAAAATTATAAAAATATAGGTTAGAATTGAACCAGGGACCAATAAAAATATATATTAGAATATGTATTACCTTGTAAATTGGTTTGTTAAAAAAGCAAGTTAGGGTGTACTCTATAATTCTTCTCTTGTGTATATGTGTGTTACATCTTCCACGGTACCCAAGTGTATGGAATTATCCTCATCTTCCTTTGTAATAACTTTGGCATTGTCATTTGTTTTTGGTTGTGTCTTTGGTTTTAAATTTTTGGCTTGTTTTTGATTATTTTTGGGTATATAGCTAACCGTGTTTGTATCATTACTAACTGTTGTTGTTGAGTGCAATGACTTGCCTGAATCCTTCGAGGAAGGATCAGGACTTGTTAGTGTAATTTTCGAACCATAAGCAATTCTGCAATAATTAAAATTATGTCAGACTGATGAGTGTGTGTGTGTGTGAATGTTTTTCAAGTGCATAATTAAATAGGATTATTTTCAATACTGATTTTCGAGTTTCATAAATGCTTTGTTGTGTGCACTTAAATGTCTAAAATTTAAATACCTTTTATTTATATTTACAGTTTTGGTTTTTGGGGGGTAGCATGGCTATAGGCATTAAATGTGCTTGCATTGCTAGCTAGCTAGCCTATTGACGTTGTCGGCTTGATCCTCGCAATTTTTGTGGTTGTCTAGCATTGAAAATTTTTATACATTTTTTTTTTGGTTTTCGATGGCAAATAGAAATATTTACACACACATAGAAGCATTAAAATGAAAAAGATTTATATTTACCTATCTCTTGTCTGCATCGAAGCTTCTACATCCAAATTTCGGGGCTGACGAAAATCACATTCCAATGAAAATGCCGAATCACCGGGTGTTATTAACTCGGGATCGTTTTGAATAACAACAATATTCGAATAGAGTTCACCATCCTTAACCGTTTGACACTGATCCAAGGCAAAACTCATTTCCAATGATTTTTCGCCCGAACTTGAGGTGGGTTTTACAAAACACGGTGCGGTTTGTTTGTAAAAACTACCGCGGGTGTACATAACACCAGTGAAGGGCTTTTCTGTCTCCAGTACAACATGCATTGAATCGGAGCCACATTTTAAATTGACTTTTTGTATGCCCTGATCGGAACCTTCAATTTTAAAGGTATCCGAAAGATCTTGTTCCCAGATTTCTGTAAAATAAAAAAGAAACAGTTTAACAAATCATATAAAAGAAAAATTGCCAATATCGGTCCATGGTCCACTATTTATACCCTTCACCACTCTGTGATAATACCCTGTATCACGTCTTTGTGCATATGTTTGTAACAGACAAAAGGAATCGAGATAGACCCATGGTTCCTTTTGAGAATATAAACAGAATCACTCAGTCGATTTATGCATGCCGTACGTTCATGTATATTTGTGACCAAAGTACAGGTCGCATATATGATCCGATTTGGATGAAGTTTGGCACAGGTCATTTATTTGGCCCAAGGATGAACCCTATTGAAATTGAAGAAAATCTGTTCAGATTTAGATATAGCTTCCATATATAGTTTGGTCCGATTTTATGAATATTGTGCACCAAACTCCAAATATTTGTCCAATTGAGACAACTTTATGCACAGCGTACTGACTTAGGTGTAGATTGATGTACACGAAGTTTTATTGAAATCGGTTCAAATTTACATATAGCTTCCATATATAGTTTCGTGCGATTTTATGAATATGGTGCATCAAACTCGCAAATTTGTCCAATTGAGAAAAAATTTTGCACAGCGTACTGAATTAGGTATGGTTCAAATTTAGATATAGCTCCCATTTATAGTTTCGTCCTATTGTAAATGGTGCACTGAAGTCCCTATATATGTTTCGATTTGAACGAAATTTAGTGCAGCGTACTAAATTGAGTCTAGAATGATGTGTGCTGAGTTTCCTGGAAATCGGTTCAGATTTAGATATAGCTTCCACATACAGTTTCGTCCGATTTTAGGTAAATCGTGCACTAAAGTCCACGATTTACCTAAAATCAGATAATATGTAATTTTGTGGTCCTAGACTAATTTTCCAGCGAAATGACTGTCATTACGAACTGGAATTTGACATCTATTTTTCGGAATATTTGTTTTTAGAATCTAAATCCATATTTCTGCAAATCCCCCATACAAAGGTCACTCGTAATTTTCGGTATGTTCAAGGTCCTAACCCCATTTTCCAAACTAATTGATTGGGGTTGATATTTCGTTTTTTCCCGCAGCATCGATTTTACATATTTTGAACGTTTAACTGATTTGGGAGGATGTGAAAAATTCGGCTCGAAGGAACTTGCGGACGTTTTTAATTGTTTCAAATATTAATTTTTTCCAACTGAGAACAAGACGGAGGATTTGTGTGTGTGTGTGTAAAGCCGGCTCTTAGCATTCCTAACCGGTTTCTCAGTTCATTCACTAAAATTTCTTTTTGTGTTCTTGCGTTTAAGGTTAAGAAGTTGAGACCAACTGTAAACACCTGAGTTTTTATTGTAGTTCCATTTACCTTGTTGTTGCTGCTGTTGTTTTTGTTGTTGCTTTTGATGATGATGATTGTCTTTTTTGGCCAAACTAAGCGTCACGAAGCAGACACTCAAAACAAAAACAGTTAGAAATGAATTTCTGGACATTACAAACATTTTTTTTCGATTTTATTAAATTAAAATTTATTTTTTTTTAATTAAATTTTCTTATATTTTTTTTTTTATTAAGTTTTCTATTTTTGAATCACGCTAACAAACGTTTTGTGTTTACGATTTAGTGTCCAATAGTCAACTGATGATTTGAACGCTTTGTCTGAGCCATATAAAACCCCTGTCAGCCATGGCCAATTGAACGCAAAGAAAGAAATGTGGGTATGGAGAGTGAGAGAAAGAAAGAGAGCGGACGGGCGAGCGGGAGCTGCCGATCATAGAAAGAAGAAAACAACAACAACGAATTGTGTAATTTCTGGCCAAAGTAAAGAAAGGAGAGAAATGATTAACTGGGGCTTACAGTTTGGTTGAATCTTCATTACAAGGAGACCATAATGTAAGCTTCTTCTTTTGGTGGCCTATCTAGTCCACGGTAGAGATGATAATGGTGATATTACCTGGCACCACCAAATCCATATGTGTGTGCGTTAACATAAATAATATCATTATTGTTGCTGTTGCCTTAATAAACAAATAGGTGGCCTTTAACTCTGGTCTATTGTGTATTTGTTGTTGTTGTTACTAAAAACGTGTCTGTTGCACTAGCAGCAACAACACCAACCAACATCGTACGCAATTATTAGAGTTTTTTATTACGATTTTTGCAATACGATTATGTTGCATCGGGAAATGTATTGTGATGTCTGCACATCAATGCACACATTACGAACATAATTGAATATTAGGGTGGGTAGAACGTCACGTATTTTATGGGAATTTTTCTGGTTATATTTGAAGTTTCCAAAGGATAAATTGCAAATTGCGGGAAATAAATAACAAAGTTATTATGATTTTAGAACGTACACGTTTGTCCAAAAACGTGCGGTCCCAGACGTATGCCTTACAGATTTCTTTACGGTCCATAATGTGTTAATATTAGTCCTTTAAAAAAACCGCTTTCATCTCTATTTAAATTTTAATTTTCAAGTAGAAGCCCTTTCTTTAAATTTATTACATAATTTAATTAACTTCAAACCACCTTAATATTCATCGGTGCAACCAATGATGTTGCAAAGCAAAGAAAGCAAGGAAAACAAAACGGAACAATTATTTTGGGAGTTTTCCGCATTTGATGCTTGAGTGTTTCTGTTACTAACACAGCGCGGTGCTGGCGGCCCAAAACAACAATTTGGATTAACTTCCGAAACAACATTTCATGAGCAGTGAGCGGTTGCATTCGACAATGATTTTTTTTCTTGGTTTGGTCATATCGCGTGTCGGTACTGGACGGAAGTAGTTTATAGATTACCTTTCTAGTTTGGATTGTTAACACAAAAAAATGTAACAATAAGAGAAACAAGAAGAAAATTTATATCATTTGTAATGGTTATTAAAATATTGACACGTTTTGTGGGCATGGGTAATTTAATTTCCCCTCAAAGGAGAAAAACACAACCTCAAAATTGAACAAGTAAACAAAACCTCAAAACAAGCTAAATTTTTTGCTTTATAGATTTCAAAAAGATCTAATGCACGTTTATTAAAATATTTACAGAAGTACTCCTCATTGGCATTAAGAAAAAAGTTCTTCAGGGAAATATAATCTCAAAAATTTGAAAATTAAACATAAGCGGTATCGTTGTATAGGGAATAACCCAAGAAATTAGACTCACACCCAAAAATGTTTTCCAAAAACATTTTGTAATTTGATGGGTACATGCACCCACTCAATTGCAGTTAATTTTGTTGGAAAATGTTCCTAACATTTAAAAATCGACAAAATGCTGAAAATCGGATATTTTGTTATAAGGGAGCCTGTTCATGAGGAAATATCTATACATGTTGGTAAGGAAATATTGTACCCAATAAGAATAAAAAAAATATAATATTATATTGAAATGATTTGGAAATTATAACCAAAATTCTCAAAATACCGAAAATACTAATAACTTTTGGTAGGAAGATTTTCTATCCAATGAGTACCCAAAATATTAAATTGTAACTATTTAGGTTGGAAAACGTGTCCAAAATTCCTTAAAATATCGAACTTTTTGGTAACCTCTATATGGGGGCTATACCTAAATATGGATCAATACTGATCATTTTTGTAGGAATATTTTCTATGCAATGAGAGAGAACCCAAAATAGTAAATTATAGACAATTCGGTTGGAAAACGTGTCCAAAAAGCTGAAAATTGAGGTTACCTCTACACGGGGCATATACCTAAATATGGACCAACATTGATAAATTTTGATATGGGAATTCTTTATTCAATGAGAACACAAAATATTAAGTCCCAGTTAATTCGGTTGAAAAACGTATCCAAAATTCCTTAAAATACCGAAAATTGAGGTTACCTCTATATGAGGGCCATACCTAGATATGGACCAATATCGCTTATTTTTGATAGGGAGTTTTTTTATTCATTGAGTACCCAAAATATTAAATT